AAAGGACCAGCCAGAGCTCAGGAAGGGTGAAATGAGGGCTGGGTCCCAGAAGTTGAGGTCCAAGACAGTGGGCCTGGGGTTCGGGACCCATCTAGAGAAAAGGGGTTGAGGCCAGAGATGCCAAGCAGTATGGATGGGCAAGGGACCCTACTGAAGTGATAACCTGTACCATCTGCGAGGCATGGGCATGGCTGTAGGGAAGGAAGAAGGCCATGAATAGCAATGGGTGCCCTGGGGTGCAGACAGCCCACTTTGTGCTGGGGGCAGAACTGGGGTCAGCTGAGTCTACAAACGACCTGCTGGCTGAAACACAGGTGAGGGCTCATTCTGGGACCCTTGGGCAGAGTCCTTTTTTACAATAAAAAAACTCCACCAAGACAAGGCAGATGAGAGAAAAGGGAGGATACCCAAGGAGCCAAGCAAAGCAGGAGCTGCGTGGGTACCAGGGTTCTGTCACAGGTCTCATTGACTGGGTGAAATCAATTTAAAAGGATCAGTCTGTTTTAAAACACCTACTGGGGAACAAGCTGGTTCACAGACCTCGGGTGAAATCTGAAGAGACTGAACCACTCAGTGCCACAGGCTCAAAAGGCTCTAGTGCAGGGGTGGGCAAAATACGGCCCGCGGGCTGGATCCGGCCTGCCAAGCACTTCCCTCCAGCCCGCAGAGCCCCTTCAAAACCCACGTAATGGTGGCTGCCTCTCTAAAAGCCTCCGGAGGCACGAGATGCCAGCTGCAGCACCTCAGGCTATTTCCTTGGGTTCTGGTTGCAAGGCAACCAGCTCTGACCTTAGCCTGCCCCAGCTGGCCTTGCCCTGCCCCTGGCTCAGGCCACGTTTGCAGCTTGGGGGGGGGGGCTGGGCCAGATCCTGTGGCGCTGGTGAGGGGAACAGTGTCTCGGCCACCTTGTGCTTTGCTGCACAGGACTGGAAAGGGCCCTGCCCTGCAGGTAAGCCCAGGAAAGCACTTGCTGGGCAGGCTTTCCCCGTGCCGTGATGTGCCACTTGGGCCATGCAGGGTCGAGCTGGGCCAACACGGGGGAGGGGAAGCAGCAGCTGGGCCGCAGCTCCAGCCCAGTCAGCACCAGGGAGGAGAGGTGGCGGCGGAGTTGTGCGCCACTCGGGACAGGATGAGCCCAGCTAGAGCAGCAGAGGCTCAACTGCATTTTCCACCTCCCTACGCTGGTTAGTCTCGAGCAGCACACGACTCCACCACCGCTTCTGCTGGCCAGTACAGACCCGGCCAGGCTCACCCCATCCCCAACAGCATATGGGAAACTGGTTTTAGCCACATGCTGTTCCGGATGGGATGGACCCGGCTAGGTCTGCACTGGCCAGGAAAGGTGACGTGCAACTGACATCAGCTCGTCACGTGCTGCTGGGGATGGGAGGAGCCTGGCCAGGTCTGCACCGGCCAGCAGAAGTGGCGGCAGAGCCGTGTGCCGCTCAGGACTGACTGGCACAGGCAGGGGGAAAATACAGGTGAGCTCCTGCTGCTTCAGCTGGGCTCGTCCTATCCTGAGCAGCACGCAGCTCCGCCACTGCTTCTGCTGGCCGGTGCAGACCCGGCTGGGCTCCTCCTGTCCCCAGCAGCACATGAGGAGCCAACTTCAGCTGCGTGTCACCTTTCCTGGCCGGTGCAGACCCAGCCGGGCTCCTCCCGTCCCCGGCAGCACATGGGAAGTCGACTTCACCTGCATGCTGCTTTTCCTGGCTGGTGCAGACCCGGCTGGGTCCGTCCCATCTGGAGCAGCGTGCAGCTGAAGCCAGCTTCCCACGTGCTGCTGAGGGTGGGGCGAGCCTGACTGGGTCAGCACTGGCCAGCAGAAGCAGTAGCAGAGCCTCCTCCTTTTGGGACCAGCTGGCACAGGTAGGGGGAAAGTGCAGCAGCACCTGGGGAAGCCACTGCTTGATAGGGGATGGGATGGGCTGGCCGGGCCCCCACCAGGGAGGGAAAGCTGTGGCTGAGCCCCCTGTGGCTCAGGACAGGAGGGGTCCTACAGCACCAGAGGCAAGGCGACCTGTGCCTGGGCTGGCTTCTACTGTGCGGGGTGGGGGGCTGGGATAGGTCAGGACCAGGTCACGCTGGCACCAGTGATGGGTGCAGGGGTTGGCCAGCTTTTGATGCCTGGGACCTGATGGGGTGGGCTGGGTCCTTGCTTGTGGGAGGGGTCTGGTGACCAATATTGGCCAGGGGAAGGGAAGCTGGGGCAGGATGTTAGAAGGGTCACAACCCCTTGCTACCTGGTAAGTGGTGCAAGGGGAGTGACTTCCAGCAGCAAAGGTTAGGGGGCGGGACTTATGGTCCCAAGTTAGCAACCAGGGGGTGGGGCAGCCCTCAACAGCTTGCCAAAACTCATCAAGCGGCCCTCTGCCCAAACTAATTGCCCACCCCTGCTCTAGTGCCATGGCACCCAGGTGTTGCAGCCAGGCTGTAAGCTTCAAAGAAACCTCTCAGCCTTTCTTCTCAGGACAGTGAAGAAGCTGAACAAAAGTGCATGATTTAAGAGAATCTCAAAGGATGTAAAGCCTAGAAGGCTGAGGATGGATTTGATAACAGTCTTCAAACACCTGAAAAGTAATTACAGACAGGACAAAAATGGACTTTTCCATGTGACTGCAGGGGACAGGACTAGGAGCAACAGCCTCAAGATGCAGCAGGAGAAATTTAGGATGGAGATTAGGAAGAACTTTCTGACTACGATGGTGGTCAAGCACTGGAACAGGCTACCTAGAGAAACTGTGGAATCTCCATCCTTGGAAACCATCAAATGCAGAGTTAGAGAGACACTTGATTGGGTTGATTTAGTCAGGTATGATTCTGCCTGCAGCAGGAGGCTGCACTGTATCACCTTATGAGGTCCCTTTCAGCCCTAGTTTCCTATGATCCTATGAGGCAGGTATCTTCTTTGATAAGCCATTAAGAATTTCAGCAGGACCCTGCCTCTGAGCAGCAGAGGAGAGGAACTGAGGAGTGAGAAGCAGACAGCTCCTTTTATCCTCTGGTTTGTGGCAGAGGTGAGGTCTGTCCATAACACCCTGCAGAGGTACTAGTAAGGCAAACAATTCCAGTCAAAGTCCCAGGGCATGAGATGCACACAAATGAGAATGAATATGTGGACAATTACTCGAGAGAGAACAGGACCTCCTTCTCTCTTTCCTGAGGGTTTCCCAAGCAGGAGTAGGGGAGCCCTCTAGTGATGGGATCACAAGCTGAGCCCTCTCTCTGAAGGGAAAAGGGGAAGACACCTTTAAATGACATGGGGAGCATTCATCTCCTGCAGCCCCTAGCATTCTCAGGGTTATTTCACACCGATTCAAACTTAAGACAGTGACTTCTGAACATGTACTAACCCACTGGTATTGAGCACTATCTTAGAACAGGGAGAGAAGGAAATACACTTTTTCTATCATTTTTCCCTGCTGCTTGCTACCAAGTGGCAGGAAAAATTAAGGCCCAGGGGTATAAACAAGTTACCATGAGGTGAAGGATGCTAGGGCTTTACAGCACATCGGCTGCTTTACAGTAACTACCTGAACACACTCTTACCTACAGTAAGTGAGAACTAGCCTGCAATGTCTTATTGCTTCTTGTGAGCTAAGATCAAGTGTAGGAAGTATCTGAAGTCCCAGACTAAAGAGTCTAGGATAGAGGATGCTTGCCTGTAGTCTCTGGGGGCATCCACATCCCAAGACCTCTGGGCTTGGGCCTGTATGTAGGATGCCTGCCAATGGATTTGGGAGTATGTGAAGTCCCAGGATGAGAGCTGTAGCGCCATACAAGGCGTTTAGAATGAATGAGTTCTGGCCTGCTCAATCAATACGGTTTTTGGAACAACTGAGTTCTGCTCAACTGATATGATTGGAACTGATTTGGCTGATTTGACCCGGAACACTAAATGTATTAAAAAAAAATAATTTTTTTGAAGGGCAAGCTACAGGACAGTTGGCTAGAAAACCATTCCCCCCCTTTACCTCACAGTAACTTGCTCATGTGTCCCTTTTAGAGCTGCGATCAGCACGTCTACTTTGAGGGTGTGAAGTGCAGAGCCACTGAGTCAAGCCAGCTTATATGTAGGAAGAAAGCTTTACCTTGGCCCTTCTTCTACCCTTCCCATTTCGCCATCAGCCCATTATAAGAAATTTCTGGCATGTGGAATGTCCAGGATTCAACTGAGTTATCAGGGCACCTACAGGGCTCCCGAAAGACCAGGCCAGCACTTAGATAAGAATGAATATTGTCATGAAAGTCTGCTGTGCATGCAACTGCCATGCCATGGCATTCCTTTTGTGTTCAAATGAGAAGATGCAGTTCACTAAAATGCCTGATGGCTGTAATAACTGAGAGGGAACTCCTTCTCCTCCACCTCCAACTCAAAGACTGCTCACCTAAGAGCAGTGTCTCCTATGCCCTAGTACCAGGCCAACTGCAGAGCTAGAAATTGAGTCTCCTACAAGTTGAGGTCCTGCTTGTCCTTTTCAGCTGCTCCCTCCCATGTTGCTCCTTTACTTCAGCAAGCGTCACTCCCACTACTCACCGAGTCCAAACAAGGTGACCTGGGTAACAGAATTCAAGACACACCTGGCAGCCAAGAAGAGGAAAGAGAGGTCTCTCAAATACCGGCATCAAGAAAACCCATCCAGACACAGTATGCACCCTTGGCAACTCTGTACCACATTCAAACTCAACACAGATTGGTACACAGCCTTTAACAATGATGCAGTTTGGAAGAGCAGCTTTCAAACTGGGGTGCTCTAGCAACTACAGCTTCTGTAAATAATGCTTGCTCACATCTGCAGGAATCTCATTGCTGACTGTAATGATAGCCAAAATTCTTGGGTTCAACACCCATGAGATTGGGCTTAGTAACTACAGGATACACTGGGTGTGCAGCTACAACATAACATGACAGCGGTTCTGAGCTTCCTGTATATCAACAAAGAAACGTATTGACCATGTGTTAGCAAAAACAGAGCAGGCATGGAAAGGAGGTACAGTACCTACGCTTTCCACCGATGTGCCAGGAGGGATGTAACCTTGTTTTAACAGCTGCTTCTTCGTGTCATTGTTCTCAACCTGAACTTCAGAGACCATGTTACAAGGAATATACCCTGCCTTTCCTGCACATTCGCCTCGGTAAAAACCATCAGCATCTTTGTCACCACACACCTACAAGAGGAGAGAGAAGCCACATCATCATACAGGTAGGGTGATCCAGCAATCAAACCAGTCTAAAGAAGCTAACATTAGCTGCTTAAATTAAATTCTTTATCCAAATGTCCAGTCATCAGTCCACTGATATGAAAGAGGCAAGCAGTAACACAAGAGAGATCTCACCTAGAAATGCTCTCACCTTCAGAATCTGCCCCTCCTTAAATGGGAGTTCTTCTTCTGCTGCATCAGGGTTAGGTGACATAGAAACAGGATCATAGTCAAAAAGGGCCACAAATATCCTCACCGAGTCTTCTTTAACAGTAGCTTCAGAGGCTGCATTCCTTGTAGCGTCTACCATGCAAACAGGCAAAAGAAATTAGGACTGTGTCCCAGGGAACTTGTGCAAGAAAATGTTTGCGTTCTTCAGGACACAAATTATTCAGTTACAACACTTCAGAACAGATCTGCCTATCTCCACCCCTCTGTCTGTCTATCTTCCTGTACTATGCTACCTTTCAGGTACAAAAATAAATAGTCTGGAGAGTCCCTAACAAACTCACCTGTGCTAGAGATAGGTGGCTTCGAAACTTGGCTTCTTCTCAAGTTTTTGCTTCCTTTTCTGGTAGAAGATTGCCACGATGGTAAGCCAGGCAACTCCTGTGACCTAGGCTCTCCATTACCAGAAGCCTGTAACAGGGACCACTGGAGAGTTAATAAAGGCTACTGCTTGTGTTCTGCCATATGAATTCCCATGGATCTGGTCCACCCCAGCATAGTAACTTTAAGCATTTCACAGAAAGCAATGCATTTAAATGCAATATTCCTCTTCAGGGACACTCCAGGGATGAGAATTGTGTGGGACTGTAGAAAAATGAACCAAATAAATATAGGCAGGTGCCCTTCCTGGAAACCAGTGACAATCCCATTGCTGAGTGCAAGGAGGGAGGAAAGACACTCAAATGAAAGTGGTGACTGAACAGCTAAATCTTCCACAAAGAATATCAAGGATCAGCATTAATTCACTATAAATTTTCATTAGAATTCTAAGGCCTCTGGACACAGACAAGCACTTGGCAAAAGGAGGAGGACCCTGCTGAGAAAAGGAATACTGCACCAATGACTCAACAACCACCTGACTTAGAGCAGCAGAAGCAGAAGCAGCTAATACAAGAAAAGCTACAGAGCAGCACAGATCTATCAGCCTCCCAGGAGTCCTTTGGGAGTCCAGCAAGAGATCCTTTCTCTGTACAACACTAAAAAAGCAGAACACAGCCACGCTTGGGTGCAGGGGAGGGGGATGAAGCTATTGCCACTACCAGCTGCTTCAAAGCAAGAAGAGGAAAAGACACCGGACCCTTGTGTGCAATGAAGCACCATGACTCCCCTTCCGAGGATGCTCCGGCTTCCTTCTCAAGCTGGGAAGCTTACACTCCAGTTCCCAACCTTGCTCCTCAGAGCTGCCCATACTCCTCGGTGTCTCCTCCCTGGAGGGAAACTGTATGCAGTGGCTTGAAGACCCAGCCCATTCTGCTCCTTTATCTTCCACAGGCTCCTGCCTGTTTAGCTCTCTTCTGCTATTGGACAGGGCAGGCTCAGACTGACTGGAGCACACACTCCATTCTTTGCGGTGGGCCTGGGGTTCCTCCACCTTGCAATTTGGCCATAGCTGGCTGGTATGCATAGGAGAGAAGGTCAGGTCTTGCTCTTCTTCAGAGTCATATTCAATATCGATTTCCAGGCTCCTGGAGCTAATACAGCGGCTTGCCATGGAAGCAGACTCTGCTAGACGTGAAGATGCTAATTTTCGGTGGGATTTTCGGAAGCTGCCTTGTCTCATGTGACTGCCTATGTCCAGCCCATCCTTACCACCCGCACTAATTACATTCAGCTTCTCCCTGAGGCTTTGAACTCTGTACAAGCTGCCTCCTGTCTGGCTGCAGTTGCCCAGCAGGCGACTGCAGTGCTCCCTAGCATCACTCTGTCTCTTCCTGGTGGCTTCAGGCCGGTCATGGACCCTTTCTTGATAGCTGCCCCCTTTTCTTTTGCCCCACAGTGGGCTTGCACCTGTGGTGGGCCTCATGCTGCTCTCCTGATAGCTCCAATTGCAGCTTCCCCTCTTCTGACCCCAGCTTGGCTCTGGAGAGCCAGGGTTCTCATTGTCAGTGTCCTCCCCTCTGTCTTGAAGGATGCTCTCCTCCTGGGGAGCCTGACTGGGAAGGTTTTGATAGATATCGCTGTCATCTGTCTTTGGAAATAGCTGCTGGTTGACAGTGGAGATGGGAACCTCTTCCTTTCCTGCATGGTAGGGGAGTCTTTCCAAGAAATAGTCTTGGGGTTCTCTCTCTTCCACCTGAGCTTGTTTCTCCTCCTCCTCTTCTTCCCCTTCATCCTCTTCCTCAGTCACTTCAGGAATGCTAAACAATTTCTTGCTGCAGTTTTTCTGCAATGGAAGCTCCAGAATCCGCTCCAAAATTTCCTCATCGCTGTCGGTGTCACAAGGTTCCTGCTGTGCACCCAGCCCCCGAGACAAGCCACATGGGGGACAAGCAAAGAGAGAAAGAGAGGAAATAAACATTAACAATGGCGACAAAGCTACAGGTGCCCCCCCTCCCCCAGTGCCCAAAATGGAACCATCTGCTAGCAGAACCAGGACAGCACAGCACAATGTAGCAGGGACTGCCCTCAGCAGAGAAGCAGGGTAGGAAGCAGAAGCAGATATGGCTCTTCTGGCTAAAAAGAAATCAATTAGATGAGCTTGCAATGCAATGAGAAAGCAAGAACGGCCAATGGGTGGAAATGCCTCCCCCAAAAACTGCACAAGTGGCCCTTCCAGCTTTATTCATTGGGTCCCATAGAGCTCTGGGATCACTGCACTGGTCCACAGCTGGGAGTGGGTGGTGGGGAGTGGGGACTGGCTGGACAAGGGGAAGGCATGCACACATTCTCTATGTTTCTGTGCATGCAGGGATGAGCCATTTGAGCTCTCCGTAAGAACAGCCTGACTGCTTCTCATAGAGTATTGGACCAGTGCTGAAGGGCATGAGATTCCCCTCTCCTCCCCACTCTCCTTTCTATGTCCTGAGGAAGGAATCCCTGAGCAGAGGGTACATAGGGGCTGCTGTTCTGGGAGGTCTTTTCATAGGGTTTTTCAGTTTGTCTTCCTGCAAACCTTAGTGAATACAAATGCTTCATAGCCACAAAATGCAATTGTTTATCTTAAACCAAGCTATAATGGTGGCACTTGATCATGCAAGGCAGTGCTTCATTAAGAAGTGTATCCAAGCCTCTTTACAGCCATCTGTTTATGTACATTTTAGTTAGTTTTGAACCACTGACCAATAAAGGTTCATTATCATTTGCTTTTTATTGTTACTGTTACAGAAATAAAATGGTCACACTTCATATGGAATGTTAATTTACAGTTTATAAAGAACTAATACAGGATTAACGGATATTACAAACTTGTTACAGCCAAAAGTAGTTTGACTTAGAAACAACTACAAACCCATCAGTAGATGGTACTGTAGATGACTGTAACAGACTTCATAACAACTGGTCAGGAGTTTATTAAAACATGTATTAATGATTAGACCTCCATGAAAGATTCTAAAAAGTACTCATAATGCATGACCAATAAGCCTTAGCTTAATTGCTTACAAAGTCATGTCCCTTATTTAAAAAAGAAAGGAAAAATATACTTTTAATGTAATAAAATAGTCACTAAAAAGTTCCTTGATTTTGTACAAAAGTAAATGGCTTTTTACAGAAATAGAAATAAACAGACTTTATGCTCAGTATTGTGAGCTGTCTTGCTCGTGCTTCATCTGCAGAACCTAAAATCCCCATTACCTTGGAAAAGAAAATTCTGAGATACACAATACGCTTCACATTAAGAACAAAAAAAAGAACAAGCAGACAATCTAATCTTCAATTTCTCTGCACATGTCCTGCTAAGCTATTTCATAATGGCTCTGTAGAGAGTAGATATTTGTAGCAACGGAGGGCCTGACAACAGCCAGACCTGCCCGCTAGAGGTGGATGATCAGCTGACAAAGAAGGGAACTGTAAGTGTCTTACCACATTCTCCCCCAGGACAAGCAAAATACCATTTACTATGTATCATGCTACAGTGACTCAGCAAACTGTTCAACTGTCTGGTCTCTGTTGTTCATCTGTAAGAGGATCACATTTCTTTTGTCATTGCATGCAACTGCTGCTTTAGTTCCTCAAGTCCACAGACCCTCTCCCTGGTGTAGTACCTCTCATCTGCTGGTAGCTGGTGCTACCTCCAGGTAGCATCATGTATTTAGAGAATTTAAGAGGAGAAGGGACCATTACTCTATCTCCTCTACCCCCTGGAAAATACTTCATCATCCTGTTGTGATACTAGTACCCCATCTTTCTTTTTTTTCCTAACACAAAATAACAATATGTATTGAATACTTCTGCATTTTCTGTATCAGTAGTAACAACATTTGGCATGGGAAGAAGCAAGTTTGTTGGGATTGGGGCTTACATTCCATGGTGCTTTTAAATGAAAATGTGCCAAAGGCTTTAACAACCAACTCATTCAGAGAGGCATCAGCTTGCATAAATGACAACCATCACACCTGATAAAGTAGGCTGTCACCTACAAAAGCTCATGTTTCTCTGAATGTGTCAGTCTTTAAAGGTGCCACCCCTCCTCTGCTTCCTTCTTTTTCTATTTGGGTCCCTGAAAGCAGCAGTACAGACGGATCCTGCGATGTCTCCATGCATGTTTTCAATAAGTTAGCTAACATTCTTCAACAATAAGGAGGAAATCAGGAAAGGATATTTCATAAATTCATAGTTTTGAAAGGAAAGGGCACTGCTATGATCACCCAGAATGACCTTCTGCAAACACAGGCAAGACAGCTTCTCCGAACTAATTCTTGGTTCAAGTCTTAAATGGCTAGAATTCTTTACTTGGATACAGGACCTTACATTTGGGGCTGTGCTGCAACACGTGCCAATTGTGACAAGATCGCACAGTTCTGCATCACTAACTCTTTTCATTATCTAATGTCCCTCCTATTTTTGGGGCCTCTTAAAACTTCTTCAGTGATGATTTTACAGCCATTGAAAAAAATGTTAAACAAGGGAGAATAAAGAAGGCATCTTTGCAACACCTGACAGGAACCAGGGATCATCATTACATCTTGAGACCTCTCTTTAATTGATTTCACTTATTTCATAAGTGTTATGTGATTTGTATTGTCATTAGTTCAAGCTCTTCTTAAACAACTGTTTCCAAGGAAGGAATGGAGGGACATTACCAGCTACCTGTAGATTACCTCCAAAAGGCCCTAAGTAGACACTGTCCTGTCTGCCTTACACAGATACCTCTCAGCATTGGCTAGCATATCACATGCTGGCTACTCTGTGTTGTGCCAGGTGAAAGGGAGGTATCCTCACTATTACCGAAGAGGACCAATTCATTGATATCTCTTCTGACACCTCTCTGAAAATCAAGTTCCCAACAATGTCTCTTCCTGAATTTTGGATTAATGTGCAAGCTGAATACAAAGAATTAAGCAAGAAAGCTATGAAACCACTGATTCCCTTTGCAACATCCTACTTACGTGAATCAGGGTTTTCAGCAGTTGCCACTATAAAAAGCAAATACCAATCAAAAATAAATGTGGAGCACAAAATGAGACTGGCAGCCCCGAAAATAAAGCCCAGATTTGAAAAACTAAGCAGTACCAAGCAAGGCTTTACCTTGTTTAGGTATGTAGGCAGTAGAAGGAAAACAAATGAAAGTGTGATACACCTGCTTAACACCTTGGGACAGCTGGTAACTGACACTCAGGCAAAAACTGAACTCCTGAATGCCCACTTTGCTTCGGTATTTCACCAGACCATGGGGAAAGTCAAGAGAGATAAGGCTCATAGGGGACATGCCGGGACTGAAAGCCTCCCCACTGTGGATGCTGAGTGGGTACAATACCAATTAGAAAAGGTAGACATTTATAAATCAGCAGGACCAGATGGACTTCATCCGGGAGTGCTGAAGGAACTGGCTGAGGTCATCGCGGAACCCCTGGCAAAGCTCTTTCAGAATTCATGGTGCACAGGGGAGATCCCTAAGAATTGGAAGAGGGCCAACGTTGTGCCCATCTTCAAGAAGGGGAAGAGGGAGGACTATAGGCCAATCAGCCTCATATCCATCCCAGGGAAAATCCTGGAAAAGCTCATTAAAGAATCTGTGTGCAATATACTCGCAGAAGGTAAAATTCTGAATGACAGCCAGCATGGCTTTGTTGCAGGTAGGTCTTGTCTTACCAAATCTCATCTCCTTCTACAGTCAGGTCTCTTGCCACCTGCACACAAGAGTAGACATTATATACCTAGCCTTCCAAAAGGCTTTTGATCTAGTATCCCACAATATCCTTGTGGGAAAGCTAGAAGATTGCAGGCTCAACTACTCAACAATTCAGTGAGTGGGAAACTGGCTACATGGTAGGACCCAGAGAGTTTTCATGAACAGATCTGTGTAGTCCTGGCGTGAAGTGGCCAGTGGTGTCCCTCAGGGGTCTGTGCTTAAACCGGTGTTTTTCAATATCTTTATCAATGATTTGGATGGGGGCGTGAACAGCTCGCTGGCCAAGTTTGTGGACGACATCAAGTTATGGGACAGCTTGGTCACGCCAGATGATAGGTTGCAAATACAGGTGGACCTAGACAGGCTCGAGAGCTGGGTAGACCAGAACCAGATGAAGTTTAATGCTTCCAAGTATCAGGTGCTCCATCTAGGGGGCAAACAACACTCAGCATACATATAGGCTTGGTGGCAACAGCTTGACTTGCACCATGGCCGAAAGGGACCTAGGGGTAATGATCAAGCATCACATGAATGTGACCCCTCAGTGCGAGGCAGTGGTTAGCAGGGCAAACAACAGGCTGGTATACATCAACCAGTGGATCTAATGTAAAACTAAGGAAGTGATACTTCCGCTGTACTCAGCACTGGTGAGACCGCAGTTGGAGTACTGCATCCAGTTCTGGGTGCCGCATTTCAATAAGGACATGGAAAAACTTAAGAAGGTCCAGAAAAGAGCCACCTGCACAACCAGGGGCTTGCAAGGTTGTGCTATCAGCTCTTCTGGCCAGTTTACCCATGGCTCTGCCCACATGGTGGTGCCAGAATGCTGTACTACAGCAAGCATTCCAGGCGTGCCAGCTGCAAAATTGCTCAGCTGGCCCTTGCCACCAGCTGCCATGCTCCTTCCAAAACCCCTTGACACACTGCCTCCATGACCCCTCTGGCTTGCAGTTGCACCCAAACTTCTCCATGCAACCACATGAACCCCTCCTGAGCAGGATGCAGCAGTCATATATTTGCCTTTGGCAGATTCCTCATACCGTATACTGCTGAGCTATGACTGATCAACAGATTCATCACAGCTACAGCAGATACATCATAGCTATAACTGATCAGATTCAACACTGCAAACTACCAGTCAAGTATTTAATAGTCAACTA